CGCAAGAATCTATTCTCCCGGCTCCCAAGATATTTTATAGCTCACTTTTCTTAAAAACAGAGCAAGCGAAAGTAGCATTAGAAAAATCTTAGATCATACACAAGTATCTAAAACTTCCAATCAAAAACCTCATAGAAAATCATCAGTGTTCCTTAGTATGTCACAAATAAAGTTATCAATAAAAACCTTAATATTCTATTGGTTGCAGATTTGGCCAGAGGTAGACATATCTCATTAAGTTATAATCAGGCGTTAGAAAATAAGATGTACACGGTAGGAGGTGCACACCCCATTCAAGCTATAATTCTCACATGAAATTTGATTGCTATCCTCTTCTTAAAAACAGCGCGAGCGTAATTACAACTAAAAAAAAATGGTTCATATACAATTAAACTTGTTGCGGTGTCTATTTCATGTTTTCCAGTTGTTCCTTAGTATGAAACTTTCCATTCTGAAAATTCCCGCCGAAATGTGCCCCTCTCAAAAACTCGCCAAACTATGTTCCCTCACCCCTCTTTTTAAATAAAAGTTGAAGTAATCTATGATCGTTCTTTTTTTTTTTTTTCTTCAATATTTATTAGAATTCCATGAAAGACGCATGTCAAGATGTAGTCCGATCCAATAAGCATAAATTCGTCTTCATTAAAGGATAATTATAGACTTTCTAAATAGTAAATCTTTAAACCAGAAATCAGTGGAGTGGAACCTTAATTTAAATATTAATAAAATTATAGTATTCATTAGAAAGCTTTAGGAGACTCTACATTTATCATAGGCAGACAAAATAGAAAAGAAACTTCTGGGCGGGGCATAGGCCGGAAATTAGTTCGAAAAAGCCTTATATAACTTATATTTTTTAAAAAATATTTTGGTTAATTTTACATTCTTTCAATTGTTTTAATTTGTAAATTGATCGTTGTACATATCTACCAATTAAAAAAAAACTTTACTCTATCCCGGGCGAGCATTTGCCATTTCTCATTAAATGGAGTCATGAGTTTTTTGTTGGAGTGATAGAGTTTTTTTAAGCATCTTGCTCTCTATTACCTCTTTCTCGTCGCATTTTTCACGGAGTGGTGAGCCAAAGTCATTCTTTTAATGAATAGGGATTTCCACAACATCACCATATCCCTCGAGTACTCATTTTCTAAACACAAGCTTTGGTATCCACATAATTTTTAGCGCCTATCTCAGGGATATGGTAGCATGTTTAATTTTTTTTTCAGAAAAAAATTAAACGTTTTGCTACTACCGTAGGTTAAGACCATTATTTTTATTGACCCTCGCTTTTTTTTGCATTTAGAAATCTTGTGCACATAAAAAACTACTTATTGTATTGAGTGAATATTTTCGATAAGTTAAATATGTAACTATCAAAGCAATTTCTATAGTTTTATTTTTCATACCTGAATCAAGTATATAATAATTGTAAACGCTTACTTTTTTGTCAAATTTGAGTTCGAGTATAGTAAGTAATTTCCTTATAATTCTGTATAATTATAAGCCGTAAATCGATTCTGGAGCCAGACGAACATCCTCCAGCGTCTATTAAACGGAAAGCCTTAAATGAGGTTGTAAATTACTACTGGTGGTTAAACGGGAATGCTAACCACACCAGCTTGTATAACATCTAGTAAATACTGATTCTTTAAGTACCAAGAATTATGAATCAACACAACAAAGCCTTTCATAAGTTTTAGTGGTAGTACCACTACACCGTCTTTGTATTACTTTCATATTTAGGTTGATTTTTATCAGAATTAGTTGAAATAAGAATTCAATTCAAAACATATTAAGCAAAACAGGTCTTAAAAATAATAATTGGACTAAAATGAATCATCTTGACGCTGACTAGTAGATAAGAAACTACTTGAGTAATAAGATATTTTATATGCAAGATTATACAAAATAAGCAATAAGATTGTAAAATAAAATAATATTTTATTGATTAATTTATTACAGCACTCGCTGTAATCTAATATAACTATGTCAATCAAGGTGGGTCATGGTAAGTGGCCACACCCACAAACCCTTTTTTTCTACACACGTACATTATAAATGGCGTAGAAGATTAGGACGTTGTATAACGAAAAAAGATCCTGCAACCAATTTCTTATTCGTTCGTTATGGAATCGTCTTTAATATGTAAGTCGTAGTTAACAGCTGGATTATGTACTTCTATAAGCGAAATCGAATTCCTAACTCACTGAGAAACATGTCATAATTTTTAACTGATTTTTTTTAGTCGTATACCTACTAGATTTATTAGAAAATCCGTGTATGTTTTATTTTCTGAATATTATTTTTACTTTGATTTTTTTTTAAATTTTGTCATATTTGTTTAATTGGCGGTTGGACACTAATTCATTCTTAACTCTTTAGTATTCTATTTAGTAGTATAACTTTATTTACCTATTTTTAAAATTAAATCGGAGAGAAATTTCGAGTCTAAGAGTATATCTATCATCGTGTTGCTTTGTTAAGTAATATTGAGTCTGTGGAGTGCGCACAGGATTTTGACTTGTTAGAATGTCTGTTTTTAAATGCATGTCTGGTGTGATGAAGGTTAAATACAAATGGTCCTTGGAATACTTAAGTGGATACAAGTGAAGCACTAGCGGATCCAGGATTTGATTTTGGGAGGGGGCTTCAGCCCGAAAGTTTTTTTTTTCATAAAAATAACGATAATTACTTCGGAAAAAATAGAAAGAAACTAACTACCTGTATGAAATGGTGTTTAAGTGATTCCTAAAGCCCTTTTAAATGTAATTACACGAACAATAATACTTTAAGAAATACTTTTTAAATATTTTTTTCGATAAAACATGGTTATATTTTACCATTTTGGGGAGAGCTTCAGCCCGAAAGCCTCCCCCCCCCCCCGTAGATCCGCCCGTGAAATGAAGTATGAATGATGGTATTGAAAAATGTTTTGATTCATGTCAGAGAGAAATTCTTCAAGATAATGATAAATTCTGACAGTATATAAAAGGAGATATAGACAGGGCGTACCGATCGAAAATGGCGCCCACGGCACGCATCAAAGTTGCGCCCCTTAGTAAATTATCTTACTAAAAAAAAAAAAAAACTGTACTACTACAACCCATGGAGGGTCATGAGTTCAGTTCTATTTAGAGAAAGTACTGTTTCTAGGTCAACGGTTGTGCAAGGAGGCGATTTGTCCGAGATCACGCTCAACCGCCATGTTTCCTCCCTTAATTATTTATTTATTTAAGGGTACCCACTTAATAGAGGCTCGGTGTGTCCCAGGAGAGTCTCCCGATCCCAGATTCGTCCCAAACAGAATAAATAATTTTCCTGCTATGAGCCAGGATTCGAACCTGGTTTCTTGAGTACTAGAAAGTAAATGCCCTACCATTAAGCTACTCCACTCCTTGATACATCAAATAAAACAGTAATAAATCTTCCAAAACGTATTTATTTTCTATTTTCATAAAGAAATAAGGCCGTAAAACGTCACACTTACAATTGCACCTTCCTGACCCGCGACGCCAACACATCGAATATGTTTTCAAAATAAATTAAATCCGTTTCTTCTCGATCTACAATTAGCAAAGGTAGGTCGTATAACCTTAATCGGTCAAAAAGCAATTTTGAAATTTGTTCTTTTTGAAGTTTTTCCGCTTTTCCGACCTCATTTTTCAAAATGAAGACTTCAAAGGGATACCGTTTTGTAGTGTGTGGCGTGTATTACATAATATCCTAGAAAGTTTTACTAGTATTACGGTACCCAAATTTACTCCTACTAGTTTACCAGAGTTCATTTTACTCAACAATTGACTGTGATCAATAGTATTAAGTTAAAATATCAAAGACGTTATTTATAAATAGAAGAACGCAACAGTTTTTCTATTTTCCTGGAAAAAAGTTTTCATATTGTAAGTTAGGCTTGGGGCCAAAGAAATTACATCTTACGAAGACTTGCAGAAGCACAAATTAACCTTAAATATTTTTGTCTTCTTATGTGTACTAACAGCGGCGTAATTAACAACTAAAAAAACGACACGAGACTCGGGCTAAGCAGGACCCAGTGCTTGAAGATTAAACAAAACTTACAAGGATTTGAAAATTCAGGAATACTTTAGATAATATGTTTACCACAACTTTTGCAATATGTCGAATTTCGCTGATAAGGAGATGGCATCTTTTCATGACAATATCATAGAAAGCTTTACAACGTTATCACGAATCCCATCAAATTACCAATGTAAGGTTGCCACCACTGCTTCCCGCCCAAAGAACTAAAAATTAACTTAAAATTAAATCTTGGATACCTTTACGCATTAACAGAATAAAATAAAGTATTTTAAACTGTTCCTCATAAAATAAACTACCATTTAATACGCTCTTAAAATTTAGAGCTACAAATAGTAGATCAGAATCAATTTAACAAATTGGAAAATATTATCCACTTATCTTCGCTCATGCGCATTAGAACAATATAGACCTAAATTTATCTAAAATATAAATACACACTTAAATAGATATACAAACATAAATAAATTCTTTGAGATTTTAACATTAAAAAAAAATTATTAAAAAAGTTGAATAACTTAATGTAAAATGTTTAAATAATATTTTTATAAAGCATGGAAGTTAAATGGATTTTGTTTTAATTGAAAAATTACTGTAGTAAGCTTTGATACTTCTCAAAGAAAGCTTTTATTTAAGTATTTTTTGTTTATTATTGTTTTATTTTTTTAAATTAGAAAAACAAATATAATTGGTAAAAGCTAAGCATTTGCTGAACTGTTTACGTATATTCAACAGCGGATCCTGAATTATTTCGTTCCGGCATTGTCTAGTAATAGTCTAAACATAAGGTTAGGATATTACTTTATTATTATTAAATTAAAATTAACTTATTTATAAACAGATGATTTTAATAGTATAAATAATTTTATACTATGCCCTTACTCAGATCCGCTATTGAATACATCTGGTATTAGATGCTTCATAACTTTAAAATATAAACTTACGAATCTCCAATCCACTCATGGAAATCTATTTCTCCATGAGTTGTGTTGGCTTTGAAGTTTGGAATGATTGCACCCAGCCTCATGTTTAATCTGTGATCTTAACAGCTCAGAGAGAGGAATTGAACTGATGAGTTGATGGAGGGGAGGTCAGTTTTATAGGCGTTAGGAATGTGTCCTTCATTGCAATAATCTTCAACATGCATCGATATTTCAGTTTACTGTTACATAAATTTATTTATTTTTTCAAAAATCCATTTGAAATTTATTTACTTTCTAATTAATCCGACCAGACAGTAATTACTTAGTCCATTAATTCACTCTCTCAATACTTGTAATGATGTAATGCTCATGATGCCATCAAAAATTTTTATAATATGGAGTGTATACCCTGACACTTGAATCCATAAACAAATCACCTCATTTAATTAAAAATTTTTATAAAGTATTTCACATATTGTTAACTGATCAATATGTATTATTTAAATATATAAATGAACTAAACTAGAATTGTTCTTATTGCGGATGCAATAAATATTAGCACACCATGTTTTTCTCCATAACTTCAATAATACAAAACAATAAAAAAATGGAAATTACAACTCAGTCACTATGTGTTGGCTAAAAGATAGGACTCACCAATAAATAATGAAATAAATACAGGCTATTAATGATTAAAAAATAATTTAATTAATTAGAAAAAATTACTGTTAGAGTATTATTAGAAGATTTCAATAAAAAGTCTTAATTCTCTCGAATAATAGCAAACAACTAACTCATCAATAACTCAGGTATTTTCAGGGCAGAATTATAAATATATTCAAAATAGCACGTTTCGCATCGGCAACTAGGGCCATCAAACCAAGAAAACCAAGGCCCCAGGGGTAATTTCCCTCCTCTCCCTCAAATATTAAATTTACCATATAGTGGATTTATGGGTGACTAGTAAATAATTGAAGAGAAGTTGTTGGGGTATTCAGTCAAAATAAATTATATTTATTTTTATTCCCTTTGTGCCGACGTTTTGGTTTGAGTTTCAGGACTAAGCACAAACAAGATAACATATAACATAAATATGGAGAAATGATATATAAAAATTATATATATATATATATAAATTAAGGAAATATAAAGTAGCAGTAACACAGAAGGGTCTTATAAAATATAGGTAGAAAAGTTAGGTTAGAATACCAGATAATGGTAACAAAGTTAGAGACTTATGAAGTAATGGAACAAACTTAGGAAGTTATAAAATAAAGGTAGACAATCTTGAAGCCAATTTGGACCAACGGACTAAGTAAGAGAGACAGCAAAACTCCAGTCTAAAGTCTTCCGAACAATAGTCGATGCTTCTTTCTAAGTGACCAATAAAACCCTGCATAATCACCTTCATATCCCATTTGTTGTTAGTCTTATCACCGAAATATTTTCCAAATTTCACCAGAACTTCACTCATCATCCAAATCCTGTAGCACAATCCCATCTAGCTCCAGCCATCCCTACAATCCTCGCCAAAGGTTGAAGTGGTAGTGGCCATACGACCTTTTGTAAGTATGTATATCTTATAGTTCTGGCAATGGCCAGATTCTCGACTGTGCCCTCCACCAGTCTCCACTGGCTTCCAATACCAGTGACATGGCTGGGAGAGAAGCACTGGACTCTCCTGGAGTCCTTGCTTTAGCTTGCTGCTTTGGCTTCCACATTTGGGGGTCAAAGCTTGACTCAGAGTCCTCTGGGCGAATGTAAATATTGTATATAGGTGTGAATGTGTTTTATTTATTTTAATTTCATTTAGCTTCGATCTATTATTTTATTTTTTGTACATATGTATATTAATTTCCTCTATTTTAGTTATTATTTCTGTGTAGATATTGTGTGAATAATTACTGTAGCCCTAATATCAATGTTCTTCGATGTGGCAGAATGTATTAATATTCAATTAAAAAAAAAAAAAACCCTAACTGAAGCTTTGTATTAGGTATCCAGCTAAAAAATCCTTTGGAGACCAATCTGTGTGGTTGTGACCCTGGCTGACCCCCCTCTTGTAAGCCTAAGAAAAACAATTCAAATAGAGACATTGTCGGATCTATCGGGGACTTTCATGCTGAAGGTCCCTCCCCTCCAAGTCGAAAAATGATTTTTTTTTCATTGGTCCTCATTTGTTGTTATGAGTGGTCTGAGCTAAATACTTAAGCAATCACAATATGCTATATTTATTCAATTATAATGCATATACAGCTACTAAAGACAAACGTGTCATATTAAAAAATCATTATTAAAAGTATTATTGTTAATGTAATTACTTTTTATTTCGTAATATGGCTTCAGGAATCAATTAAATATCATTTTATATAGGCAGTTGGTTGATTTCTTTTTCTTCTTAATTAATTATTGTTATATACAAAAACAAAAGCTTTCAGGCTAAATTTAAGTCCATTAGAAATTAAAAAGCGCAAAATTGAATCCTATATCAGCTAGTGAATAGAGATACTGTATCACTCCAAAACAGTTCACCATACAATTTCTGCTGAAATAGGCCAAATGTTAAATAGCTTGGCATTTGAGAGAATAAAAGCTTTATTTTATTGCTCAGTACTCCTCACTCCTCATTACACTATTGTTTAGAAACAATAATTGTCCACACAATTTCAATATAACTTTAATAAAATGCATTTTATTTACCTCTGATATGAAATGCCTTTCACCTAAGTCGCTGTTTAAAAGTTTAAAGCCTTATAAAGGTCATGGAATCTAGACATTTTAGCTGTTTCCCTCAAATCCACTTTAAAATTATTTTCTAATTTAGTTAAAATATGGGGAATTATTTTATTACTAGTGTATTCTATTGAGATATTAATTATATTACAGAACTACGACATCCCTGAACTTGGCAAGAATAACAAATTGTTGATCACATGGCAGCATTTATAATAGGATGTATTAAATGCAAATTTTGAGGTGGTTAACTTATCTAAAAAATGAGTTTCCATAGAGGAATCAGCCCTATTCCTAGATAATTGTAATAATTTACAATTTCGAAATGGCGTGCTTCCATTTTCCATTTCTTGTTCTTTCCTAATTTTCCTCCATTGTGAAATACCATAATTTTAGTTTTTTTCCATATTAAATGACAAATTTTATAAACTACTGTACTCCACTACTCAATTCATCATCATTTGAAAAACTTTAGGTTTCGGTGCAAGCAAAACAATAATATCTGTGTACATTAGACACCTTATATTTATTAAAATTCCTCTACCTCTGAAGTTAAAGAAATCATTTATAAACAGAGAAAACAAAGACCCTTTGTTCATTTTAAGAGCAATAATAAAAATATAAGTAAATGCAATTATTTATCACTTGTAACATCTCTTACTCTTAGGTTCCATATTGATTATTAGGTCTTCAATATCTTTGTCTTCAAGCTCTTCAGTAACAATTTGCTTCCCATCATTTTCTGGGTGACCAAAAAAGTTTTCTCAGCGAGTGTAGTTTCTTGAACTTCAGTTATATTTGTAATAATCTGAGTTTCTTGATTATCACAATCTTGTTTCAAAATTTCCTGTTTATTATTAGGTTCTAATGTTTTGTTTAAATTATCCATATTTTTATCTAAAATCTGAAGCATAGCCATTATTTGTTGAAACATATTATTAGTATCAGTACAATTCAAATTGTTGCTACTACTTATATTTATTTTTTCACCCTCCACATTATTTTCACTAATCTCATGAATTTCATTTAATCCCGACCGACTTTCACTTGCTGTGCAACTACTGCTAGAGTTTTCACGTTGTCTATTTTCATCAAGTAGGCTTTGTACAACTGACTCTGCCTTATTTTCTACAATAACATTCCCATTAGATTTCCCAAGAATTATATTATTGAGATCTCTACCTTCCATTATCTCTCTCTGCTTATTCCCCACATTACTCAAAAATTATTAATACAAAATATACAATTAAAAGAAATTGTTTATGTGAGTTGTGATGTGGTTGCCATGATCTAATTTTTAAAGAATAAGGCCACGCATAGTTCAGTGCCAAAATGTAACATCTGTCTTATGTTTTACAAATAATAATAATATAACCTCAGAAGAACACTTTATACTGTTGTGATACTTCCAAAATAAATAAGAGGTTGTTAAATAAAAAACAAAATGATAAGAATATTAATATAATAAACTGAAATTTAAAATTATTCTATCTCAGGCATGGGTTACTAACAATCAGATCAATTCAGACAAACTATTATTATTTACACTATTTATACTAAAATTAAACACTGATTTTAAAATAAAGTCAAATATGGATTGGCAAGCTAACCTTTTTTTTATCGATACTGTTTCTTCCTTTGTTGCACTAAATTCATTTGTCTCCAAATGCTTTCCAATCTTCTGCCAAACACAACTTCCAAAATGGTGATACTTTCTTCTACTCAACTCAAGCTCTCTGGGAGATCCTCTCTCTTGTAATCCCAAATAACTAGTCTCTCTGCCAAACAAGAACTTCCAAGATAGTAATACTATTACTGTTTTTTTCCCACTGGAGTCAGGATCACTTCTCCTATTCTCTCTTCACTGCAGTCACACAACAACTGGTTGCCAAAACAAAAACCTTTGTCCCTCCTTTCTTTAGGATTTTCCTTTTTGGGGAAACTACAGAGCAGCCATTCTCTTTTTCCTGAACTAGTGAAACTAGATTAGCTTGCTTTTTAACTGTTACATTAATTTATTAAATCATTTTTACCCACTTCCAATATAGGTGTATATTACACACTATAATAATTAATAATAGAAATGTAAATTAATATAACAACTAGTGCAAAATAGTTATGTCTATGTTCATATTTAGAACTCATTATTTCTGTGATTTCTTTTCATTCTTCTATATTATTTGCACGATAATCTTGGTTTAAAATGGCAATAGAGGATGATAATAATTAACTGGTTTTTTTTCAGAAGGTTGACAACGTGCATTCCAGTCCTGAACAAACTGTGTTTCATTGTTTTCCAACAAATTTTGCAATATTTCCTTCCAATTTCGGATGTTATTAGGTGTTAATAAACGATGTGTTACTTCTATATGTTCTATTCTGTATCATATTATTTAGCACTTGAAAATTATTAATCAATTTAATTTTTTTTTTAACAATTCTTTTTTATGAAATTGTAGCAGGATGAATATTACATATGAATATGTGGTGATAATAATTTTTTCTTCTAAGGCAAGTCTTCATTTTAAGGAATTTCTGATAGTTAACATTGATTAGTGTTATTAATAACAATATTAATTAATCATCTTAACAGGTGAAATCATACCTAAAAATTGATAAAGTTTTATACTCAAAATAAAATTTTCTTTTTATTCACGAGTATAAGCCATTTCATCAGCATAGTTTTTATTTACTTTATAATTCTAAAAGAGAACATTTCATCCAGCTCTAGCGCCATTTTCAAATCTGCAAAAAGTATATAAATAACAATTCTAAAAATTGTATAAATAAACATTTAAATTTTATTATTTACATATAAAACAGGCACTATATATTTGCTCATTATATCAATTTTCAGAAATGATTATGTAATTTATTTATACTTTTGATTTAATTAACTTTATTCTTGCAAATTATTCAACATTTTGCATAATCAAGTTGTAAGTATATGTTAAACTGTTTCATAGTTTATATTATCTCTTTTTGAATAGTTTTTTTAGGCTGTTGTATTCAACCCTGAAATTCCTGAATGGTTGATAGACTAGTTGTTTACTAGTATTTCAAAGACTTTAGACTTTGTTTTGAATTCTCCACCAATATTCTAACAATATTTCTTCTCTAGTTAATTAAATTATTTCTTGTTCATTAAATATTTTTTGTTTATTTCACCAATTTTTGTTGTTGTTAAATTGGGACTTTAATTTGGTTTTATTTTATAGTCAACTCACACCACAGTATAATTTGCATTCTTAATTTATTATGAGCATTTTATTTTTTTCATTCTTTTTTTTTTTTGTAATATTGAAGCTGAGGAGCAAAAATGTGGTGTGCTAATAATTTTCGTATCCACTATAAAAACATTTAAAGTTCAGTTCATGTTTAAATTTAAATAATCAAAATTCATCAGCTAATAGTATGTAACATTTTCTTTAGTAACATAAAATAATTTTTCGAGATATATTTTAAAATTTTTTAATTAAATGAGGTAAGTTGTTTATGCATTCAAGTGGCAGGATATATTATACTTGATGTTCTAAAAATGTTGATGGTGTCATGAACATTTAAAGTATCAAGATATTGAATTAATGGAATTAGTAATTACAGTCAGATCAGATAAATTATTAAGTAACTTTTAAATTGTCAAAGTATCTTTAAGCTTAAATCTGTCTCACTCTTTCCTTATTTTTTTGTTAACAATGTTGAAACTAACATCCATTGACAATTTAACTATGCTTACAAAACACTTTAGAATACATCTTAATTAGTTTATTTTAAAAATCTTAGATCTTTTTTAGATTATATTTATCTATAGAAAATCAGAATAATTTTTTTTTTGTACAGCTAATAATATAGCTATTGATTTATATTATTTATGATTTAAACTAAAATAGATTAATAGAGCTGGGAATGAACAATTTAAAATTACAATTGATGATTAAGCCTTGGTTTAGTGACAAATGGCATCAATCTAGAACCAGGATTCTGTTTTTATTTAAACAATTAAATAACAGAAAAACAATTTTTAACTCAACCTAAAAATCGAATTTAATTAGAAATTTGCTGCCCTCTAAATAATATCAGAGAGGGCCAATGCCCAGTCGATTCTACTCAGAGATGTGAGTGCTGGTCTGGAGAATATTTATAATTCGATCTTCACCTACAGTTATTTGATATACCTTTTCTTCTGCACAGAATTATTCCCATTTCATTAAACTTCCCATACACATACTCACTACATCTCTCTTCAGAACTTTCCTGATGGATATACTTCAGCTTAGCTGCTTCATTATGTTTACCAAGAACTAACACTTATCCTCAATTTAAGTAAGATCATAAATTATAGTAATCTCAACCAAAGCACGCCTTCAACTGGAAGTACATCTTGAATCTTTTTTATCACATTGAATTAAAAATATATAAAAATAATAATAATTCACAAATATAGAATATAGAGTATATAAACGAATAACTAATAATTTGTTTAACTAGATATGAGAAATAAACATCATTAAAGTTAAAGAAATTTTTTTAATTTTTTTTTATTTTAATGAAATTTACAACTGTATTACATTAAAAATACAACAAGTAAATGTGACATTGGTAACATGACATGTACAACATGAAGAGAAACTGCCCATTGGTAGAACTCAAATTAAAGTTCTATATTAGAAGGTCCCGAAGCCATCTTCTGTTCAGACGCCTCGGAGGGTTATCAGGGATCGAGGAGGAAGCAAGGTTTGAAACGAGAGGGTTAGGATGGTTCTGGAGTTTGTTATGGAAGGATAGGTATCTGGATTGGGCCAAATCGGAAACGTATGGAACATTAACATCTTTATGGATCATTTTATTTGTGACAAAGTAAGGAGCTTTGAAGGGTTTTGGGTTGTAAGGATTGGATACGAGAGGAATTCAATGGTTTAGTGGAGCCCCAAAGCTCAATTCCGTAAGTCCAAATAGGTCTTATTATTGTCATATATATAAGTTGTTTGTAATTGATTGAAAGCTTAGAGCGTTTGTGTAGTAAGTGTTGGAGTTGTCAGAAACGTCGAGCAGTTTCTTGTCATTTCAGTTCTGTATGAGAATTCCATGTGTTGTTTGTCCAGGTGGAATCCTAGGTAACGGATTTGTTTAACTGGGATAAATGGGGAATTATTAAAGGATACTGTAGGACAGGAGGTCATGGGTTTGCAACGCAGGGTAAAGGTAATTTGATGGGATTTATTGGAATTTATTTTAATTCTCCAGTTTTTACACCATTCTTCAAGGGTTGTGATATGTGATTGGAGAGTTTGGGATGCTGTTGATGGGTCATTATTAACAGATAGGATACATGTGTCATCAGCATATGTAGTGATGACAGTGTCAGGATGGGTTGGGATGCCAGCTGTATAAACTGTGTAAAGGATAGGACCAAGGATACTACCTTGAGGAACACCAGCAGACTGGGAAAAAAGGGATGATTAAGAGTTTTTGTGATTTACTTTAAAACATCTATCAGTAAGGTAGGAGCGGATGATGAGGAAGGATGTAGGTGGTAGGAATTTACGGATTTTGTACATCAGTCCAGATGCCAGACCCTATCAAATGCCTGTTAAACGTTGAGAAAGACTCCCGTGCAGTACAATCCTCGCTCCAATGCAGAGGAGACTACGTTCACCACACGATGACATTGCTGGATAGTGGAATGAGATGTGCGGAATCCAAATTGGTGGAAAGAAAATTTAAAAACTCATTTAACATGTGAAAAGACCCAATAATATGTGTAAATAAATAAAACAATCAAATGATTTTTTTGTTGTTCCTATCAACACAAATGATCCAACAAATAATTAACAGAAATTAAATAATTATTTAATTGAAATAATGAAATAATATTATTGAATAATAATCATTCTTATTTCATTAAGTAATAGTAATCCATCATATGTATTTATTTAAAATTTATCATGAATTAAATTTTAAAAAACATTAAATAATAGCATGCATAATAAAAACATTTTGATTATAAAATAACTTTCGTAGCTTAATGCTTAAACATAAGAATTAGAACTTGATATAATTCAGTAAAGTGTTTTTGAATTTCCCGCCAATGGTTTAGAATTAGTGATCGGGAACTGTTTGGGAGTTCCAATTAAGAGATTTTAAAAAAAAAGAGTATGAAGGTATAAATTTTATTTTAACTAGCAAGAAAAAAAATCAACTATTACTATTGTAGATGCATTTAAAATTAAATCCTGATATTTTCTTTTTCAACATTATATTGAAAATTATTTAGGATCTCAGGAAACTTTTTATTAATACATAATTGAGAAAATTTTTTTACTGTTATAAAATAAAAGATAAAAATAGCAATTAAAATATACACTATGGTTATTGGAATGACCCTGGTAATTATCATCAGAAAAAAAATATTTTTCACAGATGACTGATGAATAATACTAAAGTGGCTTAGTTGCTCTGAGGGAACAACAAGATGGCGAAAGGTTTTGTTTATGTGTTATAATTATAAGTTGTTCTCTCAATAGTCTATCGTGTTTTAAAAGTGATCAAATGTTATAATAGTTCAGTTACCATCGATTGCTTCATAAGTGATATATCTGGTTAGTTCCATTTCAAACTTATTTCTGTTATAATTGCGTAGTGCTCGGCATACATTGTGAAAGTTTCTATTAGCAGTTACTGTTCATTCACGAGACTGTGGAAGAATTGAAAACTGCTTTTATTTTACGGTGCTCCAAATTGTTTCGTTGAATTAGTTTCTGTTGAATGTTTTCCAGATGGTAGTTCAGAACGTGATCATGGAAGAGGACGACGATTTGGAAGCCTTGCGTTTAGCAGCTTTACAAACAATTCGTCCAAGAAAACCAAATCGACGAAATATGGCTCCAATTACTGTTCATAGACAATTAGATAAGGTATAGATATCAAGGTTCTTTAATATTTTGACAAATCTTTTTCTTTATACTTAATCTGTTAAGTAACCATGACAATAAAGTGAAAGTTAAAGCTCTTACCTAAATTCATAATTTGAAAGATTACTTTCACCATCATACTAAGATATTTTTAAGTATTTATTTAATTGTGTATGTTGTATTTATCAAGTTATGTTGATATGATAACAGTAACGTCATTCTGTATTGTTAACACATGATTTATTGATTGTTCAGCATTGTCTAACTTAGAATTTCTTGATTTATGTGTGAAGCTATATTAAATAATAAATACAGTAAGATGAATCTCATATTCCGATTATAATTTGTATGCCATAAATGTAAAATAACTATATTCGACACAATAGTATATTAACAGAAGTTCTTCTTATTAATTTCATTGGATTAGTTGTTTGTTTTATATCATAATTACTTTAGTTAAAATATGTTTAAAACTGATGCATCAAAGATACCACACAATAACTACTGATAACAAGTGTTTAAAAAATTTTAAGTGACAGCGTTGTATATTTCTTCTGTAATTTCCCATTTGTTATGATTAATGGTATCATAATTATGATGTTCTTCACAGTTACAAATACTCAAAGATATTTTAATGTTTACAAATGCTTCATTGTTTACTCAGTGCTAAATTGATTGATATCAGCATTTTCTCGTTTATACAATAAAAAGCTTTAAAAAAAATTTCAAATTTAACTTTTAATGAAATAACTTTAAGTGGGTGTAATCATTGTGCTTTAAGTTTTTATTCTATACAATGTAATTTTCTCTTAAGTATTAACTTATTTCTGCTATCGGAAGGATTCTATTTGTTTATTTTAATTTACTAGAATTAGTATCTGGTAATCAATATCAGTCATCATTCTGTTGCGTTTCACTTTTAATTTAAAAACTAAATTATAACTTCAGTACAGTAATACTGTAGCAGTGTCACATCTGGATGGTGTGTCAAGATCACATGATCACACTGTTAGCGAAATGCCAAAGTTAATCAAGTGCTGCACCTATCTCTTGACACATTAGTTTAGTTTCCATTTTAATTAAATTAACTTGGAGTACAATTATATGAAATACAATTTAATACAAAAATCCATGGATTGATATAATCAAAAGTAATAAATGCAATAAGTTTAGATATATTCATAAATATGACTAGTTAATATTTATATTTATTTTTGGATCAAAATGTATTAAATTAAATTAATGATTAAGTTATTAATATATGATTGTTCTACCCTTAACGTAATATTTTCATTTGCATGCACATTTCCACGCCTTCTCCAATGAAAGTATAAGTTTTTCAAGAATACCAGAACAACGTTTCAGCACTTATTATATTTTTAATTTGCCAAGCCTAAAAATAATTTTAAAAGTTTCCATTTAGTTTAAAAATTTTAATTAATTTTCATAGCAACACTTATTTTACATCAAATGTTATTCATTTTTAGAAATTATCAGTCATTGGTTTTTCGTCACTCTCCGCTTTCTCAAGTTAATATATCAAGCATTATTATTGTCTATATAAGGCAGTATAAGTCTGAAATCCTCAGTTTTCCAATGATATTTTATACATATCTAATACTTCTCTTATTTCTGAACATTTGTTTTCAATCTTCAAAAACATGTTTAAATTTTGTTTTTGGTTAGTTATCAAATTACTTTGTAAATTATATCTATGAATTTTTCATTTATACTAATGATAGAAAAAGGCTATTTCAAATGAACTAAATTAAAGGTACTTTAGATAAAGAAAATTTGGTTATTAAGCACACAGTCAGACTATTTTAATGTGGTTAATACCTATTTGGTATAAAATAATTTTTTAATTTTACATTGACACACACTCATCTGTTTCTGAAAGTAGATTAAATTTACTGATGTTTACTTTTTTGTTCATTGATTTTTTATTGTTGCATTTGTAGTTGGTCTTTACTGTTTTACTTGTCTTTTGTTTACTCAATTTAATCACTATTATTTTTATTGAACTCCAAGATTTATGATTGTTGTTATTTTCTTTAAATTCGCTAAAGCACAGGGAGGAGGGTTTCTATCGTTGGTAGGAAACAATAAAATTGTGTTAATTTCAATATTTTGCCTGTTATACAACCTAAACATTTGTTTCTATGTATATGCATAGGTCTGTTCACGATATTATATTTAACAATTGAAAAGTTTAGAGATTAGTTGCTTATGTATATTTTCGGACAATCTTAGCTTGTTACAACATTTCGTATAATGTTTGATGTAATCTTGATACATCTCTCATACAGACGAAACATTATTTCATTTTTACTTAAAATACTAATATCAACTATAACATATTAGTATTGTTTATTGTATTATTGTTTATTATTATTATTGTTAATCATGTTCCAACATCCTTCATAATTTGTAAAGCATCATTTACTATTTATCTTACTATAGAAAATTAGTACTTATAAATTCAGTGAACATTTTTTTGCTATGTCTCACTGGTTCAATTACATCTCATTTTAAATAGAAATTATATCATCTCCTTTACTCCCTTGTTGAAAATTTTGGAGATTTTTTAAACTATCTCTTAATATACTGTCACTATCAAAAGTGCTGGTTTAAAATGTAATATATATAATTTTTTATTCTGAAAAAAAAAAAAATTTATATATATTATTTTTAACATTAGTTTGATTAAATTGTATTAATTGTTTTCTTCAGGGACCCTTCTTCCAGTCCGAAGTCAACCCTAACTTGATAGCAATAGTGCCATCTATTATACCTCCCCCAGCGATTGATTCTGGTAAATTGACTGCTGATTCTACATCGAAGCCTTCAGAAATAAGTACAAAGATATTGCATGTTACTAATAAGGAGCTAAACCAAAATACTGAGAAAACTGAAGCGAAAGCCGATGTTGAAAAAACTGAAAAGGTTGATCCTCCTCATCGTGTTTCAGGTAAGCATTATTTGTTTATTGTTATTTATTTTTTAAATATTTTTTTTGTTAATAATGAAATAAGTTTTAAAAAAAATTATATTATATAATTCTATTGGATTATATATGAAAATAAAAAATAATATCGGTAGTGGAAACAACTTTAGAACTTAGCAATAATTAGATAGAATTTCCGTCTTGAACTCGTTCTTAAATTCAGAGGACTATTTATCTACCTATTAAGATGCTTTCAATATCAAAAACATTGGTTCTAATTTTGTTGTTGTTTATTTTAAATAATTTATATTCGACCTAATTTGGAGGATATTATGTAAATATCCTTCAAATATGTAAAAATATCTATATATTATCCAAATATGTAAAATTAAAGATGCTTTGAGTGCTTTTAAATTATGTTAAGGATAAAATGAACTTGTAAAAACGGGTTTACAAGACTTTTAAAGAAAAAAAATATAAATGCAATTATATCCCAACCCGAGTGATAAGAGTGTGATTTCATACAATTCATATTTTCATCAATTCTGTTCCAGACATCAATTTTTCGCATTATTAATTATTCTATTAAGTCACTAAATTTACTTAATAATTCTTGCAGATGAAGTTAAAAAAGAAGTTAAAAAAGATAAATCTGAGATATTCGATTTGGAGGAAGATGTTCTAGACTTTGAGACAGAAAGCCTCGCAGGCTCAGAGGAGGACACTCTACAGCTTCATGACAGTGATTCTGACAGTTTAGAACGGCTTATGGAGCAAATTGAAGAAGAGCTCTCATCGCCTGTCAAAACTACTCGTTTGAAACCGAAGCCAGCAGCGCCCGTACCTCCTAAAGCAGAAAATAAAGTTGAAATCAACAAATCAACAAGTGAGTCTCTTAATAATTGGGTTAATTACTATATATTTAGCCTATTATCATCATGTTACTTTTTTTACTGTTTATTATTTAACATATCGACTGTGAGATTAATGCTTCAGTATCAATGCAAAGAGATCTCCTTAAGTTATACCCTTCTATCATGACTAACATTGTCTATCATTTAATGTTTTTATTTTTTAATTTAAAAATATTAAGTAACAATTGAAATAGATCGACAAAAAATCATTCTTTAGTCCTTTTCATAATTATTTATTGTTTAACAATTTAATTTACCTTTAGTTGATGAAAAATCTACAGTGAAAATATTAATATAGCTTCAATTAATTTATTTTTTCCACTTTAAGCTGTAATTTAGTTTAAGGTAATACTTTTTTCATGTTTTTAAATAACAATTTTTTGTTTTCTAGGTGAAAATATCAGCCAAAATAAATTAAAACCATCACAAAAACCTGAAAGCCCCAAACCTTCTATCAATATATCAGAAAGGTTGTCTCCAGTGAGAAGAAGGTATTCTCCTGCTCAGAACGTTAACCCTGCCGTTGTTTCTCAATCTCCTCCACGCCGATCAAGATCTCCAATAAATCATAAGCGTTCACTAACTCCTCGTAAGAGATCCCTAACACCTCGTAAGAGATCACTAACACCTCGTAAACGATCTATTACACCTCGTAAACGGTCCATAACCCCTCGAAAACGTTCTATTACTCCTCGTAAACGTTCTCTTACACCTAGAAAACGATCTCTTACTCCTAGAAAAAGGTCCCTGTCTCCTAGAAGACGATCAATCACACCACAGAGACGGTCTCTAACTCCACGGAAACGTTCCTTGACACCACGAAAACGTTCTCTTACACCACGTAAACGCTCTCTAAGTCCACGAAAGAGATCTTTGTCACCTCGTAGACGCTCTATCACTCCTCGCAAAAGATCTATATCCCCTCGTAGAAGATCACCATGGAGGTTCTCTCCCAGAAGGAGATCGATTTCTCCACGTCATCGGCGATCGGTTTCCCCTAGAAGGAGGTCACCTATTGACCGAAGACGATCTCCTTCTTTATGGCGAAGATCATTGTCACCTCGTCATCCACAATCACCGAGGCGAAGATCACCCACGCCCAAAAAACGTTCACTTTCTCCTCGAAGGAGATCTTTAACTCCTAAAAAACGATCTCTATCTCCTCGTAAACGATCTCTTTCTCCTCGAAGGAGGTCGGTAAGTCCCAAGCAGAATTCACCATTGAAGAGACAGAGGGTCCGATCACCAATGGCAGTAAAAAGGGGAAAACGACTATCACCAGTCGCAGGAAGAAGGAATTGGCTCAGAAACAAGACTGCTTCTGTTAGGTAATTTTAGAGAATTAAATAAATTATATTTAAGTCATTAATTTTGATTTATTTTCATGGTATTAGCATTTAATTGAGTACTTGTATGAATTTTAAAATGTAATTTGCTGGTGAAGATTAAGTTATAACATTAAAAAAGGAAAAAGTATTTCTGTATTTTCTAATGCGTTTTTACAAAGATAATTGGTGTTATAGAAAAGTAGAGGCGAAACAGAGCGATGTCATGATGGTGGAGACATGAGCTATGTAAGGAGCTTCCAGCATCTAGCTCATACTTTTGGATATCTTATACTTTTTACCTTATACTAGTGATTCCAGCTTCAAAACTTCCATCCTTGAAATAACTCTCTATTTGTTTTTTCTTCGCCTGTCGGCTCGTAATGAAAATATTCTGTTTTAATTTTATTCTTCATTTCCTATGGGTTCTACAGTTCTTGTAAGACATAGGCCTCTGCCACCACTTTTCTCCACTCATCACAGTCCGCTGCTGGATTCCACCAATTTGGTATCCCCGGCCTCCTCAAGTCTTCTTCCCAATCATCCAGCCATCGGTGCTTGGATCTTCCTCTTTGTCTTTTTCCTCTTGGTTTACCATTCAGCATAATTTTTGGCAGTCTGATGAGATCCATTCTTTCAACAAGTCCTAGCCATCTGAGTCAGCTCTTCTTAATTACACGAAGGATATCAGGCTCATCATATAATTCTATTAGTTCGACATTGCTTCTGATTCTCCACCTATCCATACTTACTGTTATTTGAAGTTTTTAGTTAAATATGAACGTTTTAATTAATTAATTCTCAATTTTGTATACGTTATTTATCACTTGAATTCTATTGCAGCTAAAATTTACAAAAACATTTTTTTCATACAAGTACCCAATCATTATTTTAAAAAGAGCATGTCTAGTTATGTATTTCTTCTAAACATTCAATTTCTTTAAATATTCGTTATACTTAAGTATTTATTCAAAGGTTATAGATGAGAAGTCTATTTATTAATTTTTTTCTATTTCAGCAACCGTCTGAATAATCCTTCAAAGAACAACTTCAATTCTAATAACAAAAATCAAAAAGACGATGAAAGACGGAAAAGAGGAGAAGTCAAAGACAATAAACCCAAAGAAAAAGATATAGATCTTGTCGACGGCAAAAGTGATACTGATATCAAAAATGGTGAAATTAAGCCTCTTGATCCCAAGTTGGAGGCTAGAAGGAGAAAGTTCGAAACCAATTCCATTGTTGAGCCTTTGAATAAGAAGATTCGGCTCAAGTCTGAATCTTTGAGAGGCAGCAATACTGATGGTGCTAGGAGCGATGAGAACCAGAGTTTGAGAGTAAAAAGGAAGAGGATCGTTCTCTCGAATGGTGAGTTGTTTTATTTTATTCAGTATTTTTTTTAATGTTCTGTTGTTATTATGGCCAGTCTTAATGCTCCCGGTTTTTATTTTTATTTTAATCCCTTTTATAAATTCAAATTTCAAATTGGTTTTAATGTAATTTATGGATGGATGGAAGCACACCATTGTCGATTTACTTTTTCCGGTTTATGTAGTGCCTTGAAGATGGTTGTTGCTCTAACAATCTATGCCCTAATTTAAAGTAATAGTTTCTTTAATTTCAAATCAGTGAATTATTGATCTTAATAATATTTTATAACTAGCTAATGTATTATTACTTTCACTTATCTATATATGAAATACATAGGTAACTTACACATTACAACCTGCTAAAAAAATTGTTAAATATAATATATGAAAGAATTTGATAATTAACTATAGGAGAAATAAGGAATCGTAATAGAGAACCGAAGAAAACCGAGCTCGGCTGAAAGGTCAAAATAAGCTTCCAAATGTAACACATGCTTAACAAAATATGGACTCTGGTAATATTATATACATATACATGTACGGTTTTCATAAATGCTAGCATTGGTATTATTTAATTTTTGATTCTATAGATTACATCCAGTATAAATTAAAATTTGTATATAAAATTGCTAAAATAAATAAAAATACCTACAATGAAATATAAATAAATATAGCAGCCTTCTTTATCAGTGGCACTTTTGTTGGACTAAACAAATTTTTCCTGGCTCTTAATTATTTATTATAATTTAATAAATTATTAAAGTATACAATCGTAAAAGGAAATATTTACAACATTAGCTTAAATATAAATACCTCAGACGACTATGAAAAACATATTGTAAATAATTTTTTTGAATAATATATTTTGTCTGTAATTTTTACTTTCACTTCCCTTTGGCTAAAAATATGATTATCTGCTAAAAGGAAAGTGGTAAGTGAAAGATGTGTTTACTATATTATTATTGTCAATTGTTTAGAGTTAAATAAGTTCCATCATTTTTTTGTTTTAGAAAATAATAAAAGCAGTGAAAAAGCTTCTGAAGGAAAGGCCAAACCTCTTTTACCGAAAGTTACAAATAACGTAAAGAAAACAGAAGACAAAAAGGCTGATTCAGAGGAAGTAGTGGTCAAGAAGAAAAGGAAGGAGATAGCGGAAGATTCATCCAAAGAGGACTCGAATAAAAAGGGTGTTGATCTTAGAGCTGAGCTCTCGAGGAGAAGGGCAGAAAGGCTTAAGGGGGTATGTTCGACTTTTTGCATTTAGTTTCCTTGATATAGATTCATTAATTTATTTTTTCTTGTTTAATAATTGTTTTCTCTTTGAATGAGAAATGATTAGCATAAAGAGACTGTAACACTTTAACAACAGATCAACCATTAATACTGGCCATATTAATCTGATATATTTATATATGATATAGAAAAAAAAAAATCAATTAAAATTTTTTCACAAAATTGCAGTTTTTGATCCTGCTAGTTGTTGGATGACAATGATGTTTCTTAAAAATCTTCTCTGGGTCAATTTTATCATTAGAAATAAAGATTAGTCAAAATCAGTTCAGTCTTTTTTCTCATTATGAGCGATGAAGAAATCTGATAATAACAATTTACTTTTTATTTAATCTTAAGATAGTATAATGTATAATAAGGGACAGTATAGGACTTCGATGTGAGTCTTTGACCGACTATTAAAAAAAAAAAAAGTACAATAAGTATACCATGGACAATTTTTATTACTTCATTATTGATGCTTAGTTAATGTTTAATAGCATATATCATTGGCTTATTGCCAAAAGTCATGAAGTGACATTTCATAACCTCAAATAATTCAGAACTTTGATGAATTTTTCCTTTATGAAATCAGAAAATTGTGTATCTAATATAACTATACGTGATAAAAAAAGAATTTGTGTCATTTTCATGCGGTTACAGAGTTTTTGTTTAGTAATAAGACAATCATAAAAAGAAATTCTAAAGTTAACCTATATAAAAAATGCACTTAGTGACTTTTTGCAATAAACTGACAATATAATTTACAATAAGCAAACCATGGATAATTTTTATCACTCCATTATTTATGTTTTGTTAATGTTTGATAGTGTATATGCTTGATATTTTCGTGTTCATATTTTATTTATGTATTTTTTTTTTTTTTTTTATTGAAATAGTCTAACGTTTAAATGATGAGATTTTTGGAAGAATTTATATGATAGAAGAATTTTATGTTCATACTCTATGATTCATTCAATGGGATAGATTAAATAAATTTATCACTTTATTGAGGAGCATACAGTGGACTCTCGCTAATCCAGACCATTCCATAATCCCAACTGCCCCTTAAAAAAAAAAAATGAAGATTTGCTTCTATGTATATAGTATACATTCATTCGATAAAACCGTATTATCATCACCTTCCGTTTTGGGGCTTAAATGAAGTGATTGATTTGTTCAGTTACCATAAGAAATGATTGGGGGGTTTTATTCAGTCAGTCAAAATTAATTCAATAACCCTCAATTTATGGCCCCTTTGAAAGTATGTAAAATTACATATTTTACAAATTTTCATTTATTTGCTGTTATTATAGATATTTAAAAGAGAAACAATCTCATTGATGTAGTTTCTAATATTTAGTAACTTTTGGATTTTAGGCATCTATCGATCCGATGGCTAGAATAGTGCAATCTGCAATTGAAGGAGCTGTTGGAAAGTAAGTCATTAAAATCATTACTCATATTCTTTTTCTAGATTGTTTAAATATGAAGTGTTCCAGTTTAATTTATACTATTCTCATAATTCTATTTGTTTTTAACAGCACATTAAGTTGTAGTTTTATAAAAATCCAAATAGTAAAATATTTGTGTTATAAGGTTATGAAAATACCAAAATTACCTGAAAAGTTAATATTGGGTAAGGGCACCAGTGATGGACATAGCTAAGGAAATTTGTTTCTTTTTTGGCTTATGCCGTCGTAATTATTATAGTTATAAACTTCTCTGTTGGACATTTAGAATCTCTAGGTCTCCTTTTTCTATTTAACTCTTTAAAATTGAAAAAATATTCTGTTATGTAGGTATAATCACCATTAAAAAAAACAACACTTTTTGGACTAGTGATGGACACACTGAAATTCAATTGTTCTAGTAATGCACAGAATGTCGGTACCAGTAATGGACATACCTCAGAAAAATTCTAAATTTATTTATTTAACGATAAAGATAAGATAAATGTTCAACTTACTCATAGCATAACTGTTAGTAGGAAGATATGAAACACACTGATCTCAAGAACACTATAGAAACAATAATGGTAGGCATCCTAAAATTTTCTTTTGGGAATTTTGTTCATACAGTTGTCAATAAAGGGCATTGTTCTTCAATCTAGAAAAAACTGGAACCTTTAAATCAACAAGGAAACTTATTATTTACATGTTAAGTCCACCGTGTTCATTACTGGGTCCCCTCTCCATACTGGTGCGTTCACCCTAATTATAGTACACTTTTATCCTGATTTAATTATTTTTAAGACATTAAAATTTTAAGATGAATTTATCTTCTAATAAAGTTTTTTTCTTTCTCTGTTTAGAATAAAGACCAAATCCAGAACATCTCCTGTTTCAGAAACTGAAGCTCCAGTTGCTGGTAAGAAGATACCTGATTGTTGATGATTTATTATATTCATTAATTGACAAAGAAATACCTTTGTCCTCCTCCCTCAAAATTTGAGTTGACATATTTGAGTTGTTTAATTCTAAAGTGAACTCTATTATCATCATTCACAATTTTTCAGGAAACACGATAAACTATATTTTCTATTCTAATTGTATTATCAAATCTAAGATATTTAAAATAATAAATTAAAAAATATTTTATTGATAGCAGATATTTCTGAAAATCTCTGATTATTTCAGTAGTAATTTAAACATTGAAACTTGTATAGGGTCACTTTCAGAAAGAAATAAACATCAAAGTTTGTTGTTGAACAAAAATAAATTTATTGGATTAGCTTCGGAATGATAAAAATATAACATATAAAAAAGCATTATTTATATTTTAATTTAGTTTTTTGTCATTAAATCCTTCCTGCAAACGGGATTTAAACTCATAGCTTAAATTTTTTGCGTCTTAACTCACACGACCACTGCAGGCCCACACAATAGATGGAAAAACATCAACAAGGCGAGATTAATAATATGAAATATAATTTTTTTTTTGTTCTATATTCACAAAGTAATAACAGTTACAATTTATATAATTATAGTTATGTATATTTCTTTTTGTTATGTATTCCCCATGATATTAAAATTTTGAGATATTTTAGTCCAAGTGTTCAAAACAGTCTTCTTATTTGATTTTCATTGTTATCGTTGTCCCTTTCTGACCCTCTGACTAAGTGTCATGTCAAAATACAATTTTGATTTATATCTCATTACAAAGAGGATGAAATGGTGAACATTTCCCTCGCTTACAGTATGCAGGCCCGATTTTTTGTTTCTGAGATATTTTAACCCGTATGCAGAAACACTTCAATTAGTCGACTTTACCTGAAAGAGCGTTACGGATCCGAGCCTAATGGCTCATTCTAATTCACTACCCGCAAAAAAGGGCAAAGCACGCTTAAAGAAGTTTTCACTTCAAAAACTTGTTACCAAGAATATCTAGCTTAAGGTTAATTTTTGTTTTGTGTTTTATCTAATTTAAAAAAAAAATTGTTTTAGAGAAAAAGTCCAAGCCTAAGGGTAGAAGAGTTCATGTACTTCCAGCCAATTCATCTAAATCAGAAGGTATGTTATTATAATGCTTTAATCTTATTACGACAAATGTCTCTTTCCAACTGTTAATTACTTTTAACATTACCCGGAATTTATCTCCCCTAGTTATCCCTTCCTTTCATATGCTTTACCGTGTATATGACAGTTATTATATATATATTTTTGTATTAAATGGTTTTTAAATATTTACCATAACCAAAGACAGACTTGAGGCTAAGGTTACATATTTAAAAAGTATGTAAAACATCTGTTACCATTTATAATTCTTTTGTCTATAAGTGGGATAATCATGATCCACTTTTTGAAACCTGTTAGAAACTGTTTCTACAAACTCTTAGATTCGATTGGTTCCACCTTCTCACATCACGGAATAAAGTAGTTGTCATAAATTTTTTTTAAGAACTCCGCTACATCCTAAAGTATACCAAGTGAATATATTAGTTGACAGTGTTTATATAAAATTTTTTTAGTAATCTTATTTTTTTTAAAATGTTTTCCCTCTCTATTTATTTGTTCTACTTTTGATTTTCAGATAAAAAAAATAATGCGGAGGATAAAAATGTGGGCATTTCAATGCACTACAGGTCGAGTTCACCTGTGCGGGGATCAGGAAGGAGTATTCTTCGAAGAAATCAGGTAATGACTCCATGCTATTTCTTTCAACTTATAAAAATTTTCGTCTCAACTCACTTAGTATTTAGATTCTATAGAAATTATTTATTCTTTATTTAGTCTTTATAAATGCGATGTTTATAATAGTTAAATGGTGTTACATTTGCTTATACATTTTTAAATTTTCTCTCTGTCATTGAGATAAAATTTGTTATATTACTTTTCCACTCCAACAAGCATTGATTTATTCAACTTTTGTTTTCTTTTACTAATATATTATTTCTTTAAACTGTCGAATAAAATTATACCAGTGCCTGTTTAATAAAAAATTCATAGTTTGTTGGATCTGGTTTTTTATTTGTTTTTCATTGATCATTAAAAATATATATGACAGTTTTGAATTGTCCTGTTTGCATTAATTATTAAGTATTTAAACAATAAATAGGGCATGTTCTTCTGTAGTATCAAAAGCTGTACCAGTTGAATTAAATTTTAATAATGTGGGTTTTTTATTTCTGCAATTGTATTTTATTGTTATATTTGTCAGGATTGAAATTATAACCTGTTGTTTATATTGTGTTGCTCCCTGACCTACTGCTTGACAGTTAGCATTCTGTATCACAAGTCCTGTAGACTTTCTTTGTTGTTATGTTGAGTATAGCCGCTGATATTTGTTAAATGTTTTTGGCAAGAGCAATTCCTTATCTTTCTGTTTCTCTGTTGTGACTTATGGAATTTTATGACCTTGCTATCAATTTAGAATCTTCTACTATTTCCATTTCCGGATGTGATAAGATATCTTATGTAAGATGTTGTTAAGACAGGTTTGTGATATTAAACCAACTAAAAGTTGATAACAGAATTTAGTGGATATGGACCATTTTGGTTGAATTTCTACCAGTTTGAACCATTGATTTATTGTGTCATTAGTTTAACTTTTGAATTCTTGTTACTCAAGATTTTGATTATAACTTATAAGTAACCAAACTAGTATTAGCTTTTAAGGGACTTGTGGTTTGTTTTTATGTATTAACAAAAAAAAATGTACTAGTCAACATATTGTTCTCTTATTATCAAAAGAGGTATTAGAGGATAGATCTGTTGGAAATTCTGTTTGAAAACTTCTCTTTTTCTACTTATTCAAAGGAGAGGTTAGTAAAATTGTTTTCTCCAAGGATGGTGTTGGAGTGGATGTCAATGCTATTAAAGATTAGATGTCAATACATTCTTTGATTGAGTAAAGTTTTTACCTCCAAAGATGATGTTAGAGTGGATGTCAATGCTATTAAAGATTAGATGTCAATACATTCTTTGATTGAGTAAAGTTTTTACCTCCAAAGATGATATTAGAGTGGATGTCAATGCTATTAAAGATTAGATGTCAATACATTCTTTGATTGAGTAAAGTTTTTACCTCCAAAGATGATATTAGAGTGGATGTCAATGCTATTAAAGATTAGATGTCAATACATTCTTTGATTGAGTAAAGTTTTTACCTCCAAAGATGATATTAGAGTGGATGTCAATGCTATTAAAGATTAGATGTCAATACATTCTTTGATTGAGTAAAGTTTTTACCTCCAAAGATGATATTAGAGTGGATGTCAATGCTATTAAAGATTAGATGTCAATACATTCTTTGATTGAGTAAAGTTTTTACCTCCAAAGATGATATTAGAGTGGATGTCAATGCTATTAAAGATTAGATGTCAATACATTCTTTGATTGAGTAAAGTTTTTACCTCCAAAGATGATATTAGAGTGGATGTCAATGCTATTAAAGATTAGATGTCAATACATTCTTTGATTGAGTAAAGTTTTTACCTCCAAAGATGATATTAGAGTGGATGTCAATGCTTTTAAAGACCATTATTTGTTTTTTTTACTCACTTTCTCAAAATATGGCATAGAAATGAATGTCATTGCTTTTGAGAGAAGACAATTATTTGGTTTATGGACTTGTTTTCTCCACATATGGTGTTGGAGTGGATGTCAATGCTTTAAAAGTTTGTTTTTATTTTGGTAAACTTGTTTATTCCAATGATGGTGTAGTGGAAGAGTGGGTTCAATACTTTTGAAGACCATTGTTTGTTTTCTCAAATGATGGTGTTGGAGTCGGTGGTTTTGAAAACCATTGTCTGTTTTGTTTTCTTCAATGATGGTGCTGGAATGGAGTGGATGTCAATCCTTTTGGATTTCATTCTTTATTTTAGTCAACTTACTCGGTAAAACCGATGATGATATTTGACTGGGTGTCAATTCTTTTAAAAATCATTCTTTGTTTTAGTAAATTATTTTTCTTCAATGGTGGTATAGGAGGGAGGTGATGTCAATGTTTTCGAAGACCATTCTTTTTTGGTCTCTTAATTAATTCTGATTGATTATGTCTGTGTATCGGTTGTAAACTGAAGTATTCAGCTTTTCAGTTTTAAATATTTATTTTCTTTAAGAGATGTTATTTTATTTCCAAAAGAACATTGCACAATTTAATGAAACTAAGTTAAAAAATTATTATCGTATGTAAATCAGTAAAAACTTTAGCCATCAATTATTGCAATCTACTCATCCTTTCTTGTTGCAAAACTGATTTATCACAACCTAAAAAACAAATTCCAGTGAATGAACCTGACAAGAAGAATTAAACAAATTGTACTTAGTTGTCAGAGGAATGATAAATGTTAATGGGCAAACAATAATTAAAGGTTGGAATCAATAACAGATTTATTGCCAAATTGAAAAAAAAAATTAAGTTAGACTGTTTTAAGCAAGGTAAATGCCATTACCAACTGCCTAACACCCGTACCAATTGCCATAATCATTAATAGAGATAATCGTTATTAATGGTTAAGGGGATTAGGTTGGTTTTTAAGTTGTTAATAACTTTTAGCTTGCCTAATATTGTCTAACTCAAATTTTTTTGGTTTAATACTTAGTCTGTTATTGACAAGCAGTCTTCAGTTAGAGTTTGCTCATAAACATTTATCATTTATCTTGCATTGAATCACATTTTGTTTAATTTTTCTTTGTCTGGTCAACACACTTTTTTCATTTTGATATTTTTTTCTGGTCTGTGATAAATCAGTTTCGTAATCTCAAGAAAGGATGGGAAGCGATATTTGATGGCCATTTTTCTGATGTATGTATGACATTAGATTTTAAACTTTAAACCTCACTATGGTGTAGTGCTATCCAATTGTCACGATTCAATTTTGATTTTCTGAGATCTTAAGTATTTTTCTTAGCTTAGCTTAGCTTAATCCATCCTATTCTACTGCTAAGGCAGTGTGAGGCTTCCACTTATAGAACCTGATCCGTAAGTCTCTTAACACTTGATCTTACAAAAGGAATAGAGGCCCTGTAAAGAAAACATATAAGTATCGTTCCTATTGCAATTAAATAAACATAACTTGATTAGTAAACTTTGAATTCTGTATAATGGAGTCTGTTTTTTAAAGATATTTTTTGCATAATAATTTTTAAGTTCCAGTATTCCTGTTATGCCATGGTGTGAATTTATAGTTGTGTTTTAACATAGTTAATATATTTGTGGTCTAGTTCATGGTTTAAAATAATCAATTAAACTTTCTTGTTGATGTATTTTTTTTATGTAATTGGTTGCTTTGACTGGTACAGCTTGATACTTGTAATCATTTTGACTGTCAACTTATTAGTAGTGAAATTTATATTTTATAATTGTATTATTTTCTTATCTACAATTTTTTTTTATATTAATGTTTAATACATTTTATTTGATGATTTCGTTGTAGAATATGCTTATTGTTATTCCCAGTTTTTTCTTTTATTTTTTTCTTTAAGATCTGTTGCTATTTAAACTGAATTGTTAATTTTGTTTCTATCTGTATTATCTTATAGAGAAAACGACAAAAGTCTTGGTCGAAAACAAAACATAAATAATTTAATTATTAAGTTTTATATCAGCTGTTATTTCATGTATGAAAGGAAAATCAAATATAAAATTGTGTTGATTATTATACAACGGTATCTGTTGTATTATTGAAACTAACAAGGCAATTATAACTGTTATAAAGCTTTATGTGCTTTTATTAGAGTGTCTTGTCGTTTTATTTTGGATTGAAAACTGTTGTCATTTATTTTAAGATAAATAAGCATTTTTGTTACTTGGAGTGTAGTTGTTTATAAATGGCTTATAAGGTGCTGATTGAACAATATTGTACGTTCTCACAAACAGAGAAAAAATAAAAAAATTGTAAAGGCATTTATAAAATACATTATTTTTCGTTATTATTTGTATTGAGTTGAACCCCTTCTTAGTACTGAACTTTAAGGCTTATTGAGATATAAATAAAGATTTGATGTAGTAGAATTTTCAATTTATAGAGAAATTTCAACTTGTTTGTATCAATTTAGTTGGGAACAGAGATTAGCTGATAAAGGGAAGCATTGTGCTCCTATCTCTTGGGCCTGGGTCAAAATCAGTTGTGGTAGATATTATTTATTCTGTGCTGCTAGCAGTTGGGGTCAGGAAACTCTCCTAGGGTCCACCCAGCCTTTACTAAGTGGGCACATGTATTTTCTGATATATTTTTCAAGAGATCCCCTGTTAACATGAATTTTTTTCAGTTCATATGAAATTTGAATGATTTAAGCCATCAGTAGAGTGAAATTTTTGGCTACCTTGGTAAAAATATTATTTAAATCATGTTATAGTTGTTCCGTGGTTTTTGAATGAGCAAGACATGCCAAAATTGTGTTAAGTGTTCATTCAGAAGGGAAGAAGTGTTTGTTAGTGCTGTTTACTATCATATTTGAGAAAATAGTGCATGGTAGTGTTTTGCAATAATCGGAATGCTGATATACTATATCAAATTTATACCAAAGAAAGGCGATAAAATTAAAGATAAAAGTTGTCATTAGTAAGACACCAAGGTATATGCCACTAGGTGCGTTAACGTTTAAAAAAGAGGAGTTAAGTTATATAGGAAAGGCAGGCCTGGGACCAGATTAAACCATATGGTATCATAAGGTGTGATAAGGTTTAGGAA